AGAATTGCAGGATACGCCACTCGCGTATCGTCAGTATTTCCAAGATTAACAGACCCCAATAGAACGAAATAGATAAAGCATCCCCTAAGACACCGCAAGCAAAGCATTACGCATTCCGTCCACGAGCGAACGAGCGAGATCAAAACGTGGCGGGTTCTTCCTCGAACTTCGTATTCGGGGCGAGCGATTTCGTTGCATCTCCATGGCACCGGTGCATCCTCAACCACCCGCCAGTAAACAAAGTAATTCCAATCCCGACAGTCAGCGCCGGAAGCGGATAACGCCGGGGCAAGAACCGGGAGCCGACTGAGAAGCGACGTCGGAACCAACTGCCGTTCGCTCGACCGTCAAATTGCAATGTCTTCGGATTAAATTTCGATGAGACTGCCGACTGACGGGGTCTGCCTTGACTGCGTCACTCGGTGGAAGCCTCGAAGATCGACGTGCAAAGAGAGTTATTCGGCTATCGGGAAAGGGAACAGTGACATCTTTAAAAATTCAACGGTTGAAAGAAAAGAGAAAGCCCTGTCCGCTTCGGAGGAAAAATAATTAAACGGGAAAGCCTATCGCGGTTTGCCAGCGTTCGATCATTACTTATTGCAAGGCTGTCCCTAAATGTACACTTTCGTGGACGGTTTCAGCTCCGTGCAGCTCCGCTTTTGTCATAACTCCCCGGAGCCGGTGGGTCTAATAAAACTTTCCGTGCAAAATTGAGGAGACAGCCCCTGGAAATGATCTTTGAACCGCGACCGCTTCATCACGAATTCAACAGATCCCCATGACACAGTTCCGCTAAGTGTCGCAGGACCGGAACCAACGCCTGTGACATCGGCACCGTTACGTTCGAGAATCTGTGACACTGATATTCGAAATCTTCTGTAGTAACTTCAATGAGTCTTCCTCTGGATTCCTCGATTCTCTACTATTCTTTAATTTATTCAGAGCAACGGGCAATATGAATGCAAGAATTTATCGAAGATCACTTAAAATTTAGAGTACTGCTAACAATATTGTATTAAGATTAGAATTACTTTGAGATATTTAGAGATGAGAGATAATATTGGATATATTTAGATAATCTTGTATTATGAACTAATTTTCGTTGAAAAATAATCCTCGAATAATTATTAGATTATGTTATGTAATTGCCATTAGCATTTAAAGTTTGATTGAATCCTTAAGCATTGATTATTAATCTTCAATAAACTGTTCCATAACTGCCAGTAGATAATGTGTTAAGTGCGTGACGCACGAAGCTCAGCATTTATGCAGGAATCGAGCTCGCGGTGCAGAGCCCGCACTCCCCGCCGAAAATCCCAGTTGAACCAGCTCGAAAGGGCGGCGACGGATGAATGGAACCGGTGGAAGCGAAAGCGGCGCTCTCTCGGTTCGCAGCTACGTTCCGCTTCTCTTTGCCAGGCCAGAAATAGCGAAGGGGCAGATGTTTGAGCCCGCCCACGTGTTGGCCGGGTGACGTCACGTCGGACGTGTGGGCGTCGCGAGCGGGTGGCAGGATCGACAGGGTAAGCGGCGATACAGGGTCTGCCTGGGGCTAGCGGGGCGGGGGCGTAGGGACGGAAGCGAAAGGGAAACTAATTTGCGAGGAGAGGATGTGCCGGGTGACGGAGGCTGCCGTGGAAACAGGAGAAATAGCGTTAAGCGAGCCAGAAACGGAAAGATACGGCGGAAAATGTGGATACGGCGCTGAAGAAGCGCTGGAAGATGTTCAAATACTGATACGGAGAATCAAGGAGAACGATCAAGAAGTTTCGAGGCAAGAAGGGGAATTCCAGTTGGCTCGGAGAGGTTAAGCGGCCTTCGCCGCGGTCCCGGGAAAAGATGGGTGGTGGTGTGTGACACCCCCGGTGTCGGGAAAAATTTTCTCTCTCGCGCTACTATTTTTCGAATTACTTGAGGTTTTTCCAGAGTTTTTCTTGGGTAATTTAACGTTTGGGTCTGTGTTCAACGAAAGAAGGGTGAAAGAAAATTATGGAAAAAGGGTTTAGGGAAAATATATAGAAAAAGGTGCCAATGAAAAGTATTGCAGGAAAGAAGAAAAATCTGTCGAGGAAAGGGAAGAAAGGTGTGGTAAATTGAAGAAAAAAAACGTTATCCTCAAGATAAGGAAAAAGGAGGAAAAATAACCTTAGACACAGGGTAGGAAAATTGAGGAAAAGAGATTTTCAAATGTCCCGTAAAATACGGAAAATGAAACACGCCGGAGCTTGCGGGGAGAAAAAAATATGGGCAAGAGAAGATTGAGGAAATATATAGGGTACAGGAAAATTGCGGCTTATCGAAAAGCTTGCATTTTATGTAAGTAGTTAAGAAAAGCAAAATAATAGAGAAAAAACAAAGTGGGGAAAGGAAAAAAGTACGAGGAAAAGCAAAGTGGCAAGAAAAAAGGAGGAAAGAAGGGAGAGTGGAAAAAGAGAACAACGCTGGTGAAAATGAGGAGGAAAACATTAGACAGTGGGAGGGTTTGGTGTGAGTGTAAGGGAGGGACACGGAAGGCTGAGAGAGAAGGGGGTAGAAGGGATGATACCAAGGATCAATGCAACGACGAGACCGGGAGGGCAGAACCCGAGAATTCCCGCAGGATACCGTATGCGATATGCCGCGATACACGATCGCGGAGATCCGATCAAGGATTTAACGGCTGCGAGGATAGCTGGGATGCCGATCAAGCGTCCACACGCATCCTTGGCCAAGTCGATACTCTATTCCTCTCTTTCCCACGAGAAAGAGGATTGAAGAAATTGGAGGAAAATTCCACATGGCAAGGATTTCTCCGGCCAGATATTTTCGCTGGTGGGCCGAAAAAACAGGCTTTACTCCTTTAGAAAATTCCCTTTGCGGAAAACTTGTGCTATCCAGTTCCATAGAGAATCTTAAACCTAGGATCACATAGTTCGCACACGACGATTGCACCGATGATCGTCGGATAACTCGGGAAATCTATGATCGGCAGTTACCCTATGAAGGCAGCATTCAAAACCAACATGAAACTTATCATCAGATATTCACAGAAATATGGAATATCGAGAAGAAGCGTACACGAGAAATATCGAAGGTACAAAAGAAGAACAAGGGGAGAAGCCAACAGCACTGATACCAAGCGACGTTCCTATTTCGCGCGAGCTGTTCTACCGATGATGCGCACCTCGATGAATCGGTTCACAGTTCGCCGATCTCGCGACTAATCAACCGTGATCATGCATACGTGTAAATACACACACACACACACATACACCCTTGTTCCCTATATCAGAGTTGAAAACCAGCTCTCAGTTGCACGTTGTATACGATCAAGCATGTTCCTCGTGAAACGCACAAGGGAACGCGCGGGCGAGCGAGCGAGCGAGCGAGCGAGCGGCGTGTAACGGCGCTACAGAATCCAGCCGCGTCGGTAACCTAAATTTACTCATTAGCCAAGGATGAACCCGGTTACACGTCCCTCCCGTTCGCTGGCGCGCGCACCACCGGCGGCGCCTTCCTCGCGATAATGCAGTATCGCTTTTCATCTGCCACTCCATTCGGTCCCGATCTCCGACTGCGCGTAGCGGGAGAGAGAACGAGAGCGGAGACCTACTTTCCCCGTTCCGAATCTCTCCCGGAAACGCGCGCTCTCTCCCGAAATCAAACGGAGAAACGCGATCGGCTCTATTTCCCGGATAGTTACCGGTCGAGGAGCCCCATTGCCGTCGTAAACCGCTCGGCGAACAGGCTCGTAAACTCTTTGGAAGTGGGGTGTTACGTTCGCATCCTACCCCTGGAAACTTCTGGCCTTATAGAACCTCTGTTCTCCGGTACATCAAGATAGCGCGAAGAGAAGCGGTTAATCGGCCGACGAACACGCGTACGCGGCGACGCGTGAGCTTTTTGAGACACTGCATGAGCATCGGATCGGTCGATTACACTTTCCTTAGGCCGGCTCGCCTGTAAATATCCGCGCGGGTACAGGTGCACACACTCTCCGTAAACCAATTATCCGGTGACACGGAAAGCCCGTGCGCTCTCCTCGTGCACCAGGAGAGTTTCAAGGGCATAGCTGACCCTACGGCCGAGCAGAGAGCCAGGCCGACTGCTCTCGGCCGCCCTAACGTCTCCGTCCCCCGTCGACGTCGCCGCCGATCCTCCCACGGCGGCCTCCGACGGCGATTCGACGCCGGGCACGACGTTCGAACGCGTCGCTGCTGAATTATACGACCGGCGCCGCGAGGACGTGACATTTCGAAAGGAGTAACGGGCAATATCGCTTGCCCCGGCGGCGATGAACTCCGATGGCCGGGAAAAACGGCCACGGGAAAGTTCACCGATACCCGGATGCCGATCACCGCGCTGCGACAACGTTCCCATAAGATTCCGAGCCGGCTGTTCCCACCCCTGTTCCAATAAAACGTCGAAAGACCGAATTGTCTATAATTGTTTTACCGGGCGCAACGTGCTTCGTTATTAAACGGTGTTAACTCTACTATATGTTGAGCAAACCTAGGTGTCTCGCGAATTCCGAGATTTCTGAATTTTTAACGACCGACGTTGAAAGCAGCCCCTATTAGAAAGTTTATCTCTGATTCGCGTGGGATGTATTAAAGATACCTAAATTCTACATTATTTTCTCAATGATAATACAGTTTGTCTAGAACAAATTTAGGGGTCAAGAGGTTCACGGGAAATGTCACTTCCTGCGCGGCTGCGTCCGTCTCGTCGCCTCTTGGATAATGATCGAATAAATGATCAAAAAGGAAAGTATCGTTTTTTTTTTGTTTCTTCTTTTCTAGCGAAATCTTTGGAGATCGATGTACGTATCGAAAAAATGGATTTCCGCGAGGGCGACTGCGACGGTGTGTCCGCGTGTTCCGCGGCCCATCGACGAGGGGTTCGGTTAGTATAATTAACCCCCGTCGAACGAAATATTCGGCTGATCGATAACGCCAGCGACGGTCGACCTAAGTAAAGGGGGAAGATAATATAAGAGGAGTGATCGAACGTGGACTCACCCTTCTCGGACTCGTCAGGCTCGTCGCTGGCACACTCGGGTGTGCTTCGCTCCTCCTCGCTGCTGCTGAAGCTCCTTTGTGGCTGAAGACCGCCCTGTACGCCGCCCACGGATTGTGGGGGACGCGCGCTCTGCATCTGATGCACCGAGTGCTGTTGTGGAGGATGGACCGCGGAGAGTGGTGGGCCAGGTTCCACCGTTGATTGGCCATATGTCATCGCGAGATCCGTGTTCTGGTCCTGGAACACCGAAAAAGAAACGTGCTCTGGGTCGTTGACGATTTTCAGCCGCGATCAAGATCGCGCGACCTGCGGACAAAACCGTCACAAGATAAACGTGGAATATTTTCATTTACTCAATGGCACATGAAACTTCCTGAACGAATGGATCATTCACTTTCGGAGAATATAGAAGAGAGATCTGTATCGCTGAATGTTTTCATGAGCCATTGGTTGTTTGAACACGTCGAGTGCTAATACCATGTTATTGAATTTGTTATATATATATATATTTGTATATACATGTTTGTATAAATTGTATTATTTATAGATATAAAGGTAATTATTTATTCGAAGAAGAGTTAGATACCTTGTAATTAAATAAAAATTCCTTTCGTATAGAATTATCAAATTGAATTGAACATAAAGTCGAGCATAATTTGCTAGCATGGCAGCACTGAACGTGATAAATAAGTATAATAGGTCGACCGCGGAAGTTATGCGTTCATATTTCATTTTATTTATCAATTTACTAGACCATTCGTAAAGATAGAATTGCATTTGACCCCGGTGCTTTGAAATTTTCCTATAAAAATGTGAATTCGCATAAAGTTCCGCAGTCTAATCATAAGATCCTCTTCATCGTCGAGACTTACTGATCCGGCAGCAGCCGCACGTTGTCTGCGTAGAACGGAGCTGATTCTACTAGAAAGCATCAAGAGAGATATACAGGGGGAACTGTTCGGAACTTGCGTTTAATACTTAGTTCCGCTAATACACTAAAATCGCTACGATCTCTTGCAAGGAGCAATCTAAATACAAGCGAACGATTGTTACTCTGGATCTCAACAGGGATCTCTAACTATAGACGTCTGTGTACAGACAACAAGTGCAAGAGACGACGCGTGTAACACGTTCAACTACGATGCATCGAATAAAACAGGTGGGGGGAGTAGGACGAGTGCTGTAATCGAAGAATGACAGTGGCAAATGTTCGATGCAGGATGATCGAAGGCGCGACAGATAAGATAAGTCTCTACGTGAATCGATTACACCGTTCAACGCGAGCTTTTCCATCTGCAATATCCGTTCGGTGATTCTTCTAGACCTTCCCGAACGCGGAACAAAATTCCTCTGTCACCCGCAACTCTCCCAAAATTTCATTCCTCGAAACAGAATCAGATTTTCCAATGACAAAACGACGCAAGAGAGATCTGACTCGGAGAATAACCACAACCCACGTAACATTTTACAAACATACCGAAACTTCAAATAAAAATCTCAAGATTCTCTTCGAAACCGAACTTCTCGGAACCAAGGATAACAAGGAAAGGCTGTTTCCAGATTCACATCTATTCCCGGGAAATCCGCAAGAACCACCGAGAGAGTATCAGAGCCCGCAAAAGAACCTCAAATTCATTGGAGAGCGTTATCAGCGAACCACGACGTAGCGGGACAAGTATCTGAATCCAGGATAAAGCGGGGCATCGAGAGATTCCCCTTTTCCTATTCGATAACTTCGTTTCGCGAATCTTCCGGAAACTGGTCGTTCGAGAGGCCTCTCGAGCACCGCCTACGCAAGTATATCGGCTAGCTAGCGGCTCTCCTACGCGCTCGCAGATAGAATGGAAGCGAGAGAGAGAGAGCAAGAGAGAGAAAGAGAGAGAGAGAGAGAGCCGGCGTACTTGTTGAATGTTTAATTTTCCAAGAGTCTCGCAGCATCTCGAACATTAACGTCATCGTCGGGCCAGGCCTGGGCGGGCCGGCTCTATCGAACGGGAGTTAATTCGCGGTTTGGGGTTTCCTTACCGGGTAAATCGGTCGTTGCCGTTGATAATTCTGCTGTTTCATGAGACCGTCGATCTCGCCCCTGTACAGGTTCGGGTCATCCTCGGCGTACGCGTCCGGATGCCGGGGCGGTTGCTGCGTCTGATGCGTGGGCGGCCCGTGAGGCGTTGGCAACGTCCTCGCGTGAGGGGACACGGACACGTCCACTCTATCGCTTGTGGACTTTGGGCGGACTGGTACCTGAAATCGCGACGAGGAACTTCCATTTCTCTCGTACCAGAGGGCCGATTCTGTCTTGGCCGCGTGTGCCTTGGCGATCGTGGCTTATAGACAGTGCTATTGTTCTTGTTGTTGTAGTTGTTGTTGTTGTAGTTGTACTTGTAGATGTTGCGTAAGAGTTTGATCAGCATCGTGACACTAGGCGCTCTCGGAGCTATGACTTTGGACCATTCCGCTGTATCGCTAGATGCTCATTCTTTAGGTTAACTGTTACTTTTACGTTCGTAATTGCTGTTATTAGACAATAAAGTTTGAATGTTTAGTTCCAAGTTAAAAAATGGAATTTCTTTAAAGAACGTTGAAGTTGAAAATGTGAGGATGACGATCAACGATTCAAATCGCAATATCTTGAGGCAAAAAGATATTATACATTGTCCTAGGAAGAATAATGTTTTAGAGGTGTCGCACGCGGAATCGTCCAAAGGCACGTTGTGCAGGTTAAGTGAGTATGAAACAGTGAAATATGGTGAGAAAAATGGCGTCGGACGGCTTCAGCACAGCCGGAGTTACTTGGCAGCGTACGGGGATAGGCGGGGGGAGGTTAATACTTCTGCGTAAACTGTATAATAATATCGTTTAAGTACATCCAGAGCAACAGTGCGTGCACGAGCGCTATCGAAATACCGCCGCGGGGCTATACGCTAACCCGCAGCCGAACAGACAAATGTATTAGTGGTATAAATCGTACTTGCTCTTGCTGCGAGTACTGTCTTCTGAGCAGGCTCTCGCTCCTTTGTAACAAGGGCAGATTCTCCTTCTCAGCGGCGCTGTGCGCCCTCTCGAGTTTCAGTCTTTTATCCTGAGTTTGGTCCACGAGTCCCGGAGGAACACCCACCTGCATGTCCTGCATCTGTCGCAGCATCGCGTTGTCCGCGGTGCTGAGGCTCGCCTTCGTCATCCATTCTCCGGTCCTCGACACGAGCTCTTGCTTCTTGCGGCAGAGGATGCACACCCATATTACCTGCAACCAGAGGTCAGTTCATTCGTCAGAAAGAAGAATTAACGAACACAGAGTGTATCTTCTCTTAAAAGAGAACTCATAGAAGATTCCCTTTTATTTCGTTCTTATTCTTCTCATTATACTTTACTTCTATCTTATCCGTTTTATTCTATCTTATTCCCATTCTCCTCTCGTCAAAGATTCGAAAATCTCACCTCGACAATCTATATTTCACGTCGGAACTTATAGAATCTCAAACTCTCCAACACGCGTTCCCATTCAATTTCAATTTCTACAAATCACTCCATCAAAACGTCAATTCGAAATGCTCGCGCTCTCAGTCGTTGTTCTTCGAATGTCCAATTCTAATCCTGCCCCGGAATTTCAGGGGCCGTTAAGTGAATATTTCGAAGAAGCAAACGATAAAATCTTTAATACCGTCGCAGCGAAAAGTTTTGAATATTTCCCGCATAAAACGGACGGTCCATTCGGCGGAAAAGTTTCGCGCGCCGCTATGAATAAGACGTTTGATCCGTAGATTTCGGGGGACACGTGTACCGCGCGTATCCTTGCGTCGTGGGAGTCGTTCCCCAGGCGGAGAGTCGCGCGTTAAAAATACACGGAGCTCGCAGGAGACGCCGGGCCGAAAACGTCCGTGGAAAGTTTCCCCGTCCCGTATTTCTGGCGTCGGTTTCCGCGGGAAAACTCCCGAGCGGTCTCGACGTCGGAGGGAAACTGTAAAATCCCCTTTAACGAAGTCCCCTGGCTCCGTGGCGGTCCATCGTCTCAGGGGTGAATTCCTATGCAAATCCTCGTCGCTCCGGGCTACGTTAAATTAAATCAAGCGGATCCACGGCCGATGCAACGCCGAACGAAAATAGCCGGACGGAGCTCCGTGGCAAACGGTGTCGAGGCGTTTCGCGTTGCTCGACGTTTTAGATTCCAGAATTTTCATGGAAACTCGCGTATGCACAAGCTGGAGGCGAAACGCTTGACAGGAAGAGCGTCAAGGATGGACGAAAGGGAGAGGAGTAAGGACTCGGCGGGATTGCTTGAAAAGGTTGTTAATGATTTTCGTGATATTTTAGAGAGGAATGCGAGGGAGACATGATTTCTTGGTAGTACTCGTCGACGAGAAGCAACCTACGACTTAAAAGTGGAAACTTCGAATATTTTGGGAACAAAGCTTTTCTATTGCTTGAGGAAAGCGGAGAAAATTGTGACTTAAGCAAAAGTACGAAAAATCAACTTATTTCAATAAAATGAAGGTAACAGTAATGCCATTTGTAAATGTTCCCTTTTGGAATAATTAATTTCGTTAACGTAATCAATGGCGAAGTTTAAAACGCATACTATATCTCTTCTAAAAATCGAACAAATGAAATTGTATGAAAAGGGAGATAGGAGTATAGATGTTTCTTCTTTCTCGACATTATTTTAAAGATCACAATCGTGGTTCTTCGGTAACAGTTAGAAGAACTCGCGTTTGAAAGGTAGCACGAAAGGCGTGCGTCGACGAGAGGAGAACGGAATCGAACGTCTCGGATCGAGAAGCGCATTCTTCGCGGGCGACCATTCAGACGGTCGGTACAATGAACGAAGGCTAATAATTAGCGGGCTACCGCGACGGCCGGCCGTTTTGAGGGATGAATAGGCCAGGCGGAATACTCCATCAAGATAAAACGTGATGGATGGACCATTTAGAAGCAAACCATAAAACAATGCCCATGCCGGTTCCCATCGATAACACTTTCCATGCCCATTCACGCGTATTATTGCGCCCGGGACTAAAATGGCGTGAGCAACGCCCCGCAAGGACAGCATCGGCTCTCTCTTCCGTTGAATTACGAGCGTCCCAGCCTCCGTTGCGTCTCGACGGGGGATTAAAACGAGCTCTCGACGGACCGAATCATTCGATTTGAAGGATCTTCATCTCGCCGAGGAATCTCGCCTCTACCTTTCCCTTTTCGCCTTCCGCTTCTTTCTTCTGGCAACGACTTACGCCCGAAACTCTGCATCGCCGGACTGACCCGATTAACAAATCGCCCTTTTACGAGCCTGTAAATTCCTACTGTGCCGAATTGGCTGCAACACTCGGCTATGAATAATCCTGCAACAACGTGGATACCGATTCCAAGCGTCGTTCGAGGAAACCATAAAGTAGGAACGCATCAAATCGAAACACTGCCCATTCTTCTACTACTGGAAGAGAATCCTTCGGATGTTCGAGTATCTCCACTCTTAAAAATCCCGTAAAACCGACGCGTTCGCGGAAACAATTCCGTTTGTCAAGTTGGCTGCGATGCGACTCGCGAAGACGCTGCTTTATTCAAAATTAATATCTTCGCTCTCTCTGCGAGGAACTCTAAAATTAAATAAATCAAAGGAACAGGGTAATACTAAAATACAGTAGTCTATTCAAATTGCAATCAAGAACAGTACAGAACACAAAAATGTTCAAGAAAATCCGAGTGCCCGCCAATGATACCAGTGATCCAGTTCAACCGCCGGCAAAAATTCATTTTGATATCCGAACGAACAACGATACCGGCGCGCGACGAACGCGGTCGGAGTGTTAATTACTCGCCGCCGATGAAACGGTTCCGAACGTTTCAATCGGATCGCGTTTACACGATTGCCCGGCCCTTGATTTCGCGCCGCCTAATACGGCCGAGCGCGTTTTCATTTCGAAACGCGCGCCCCCCTCCGACCCCTTCCCCCGCGGATTAACGGGCCAGGAATATGGGCTCGGATTGGATTCATCGAGTAATGATAATGGCCAACAATAATTGTGCGAACTGCGCCGCGTGGCCGGCGTGCCGTGTATCGATTCATCGGTGATATTCGCGCGCGAAAGGGGTTGGCCGCCATCCCCGCGGCCCCCGTAATTGCGTGACGTTTCCGCGGATGTTGCTCGCCGTCCCGTTACGCGCACAGACACACACACGTACACGCAGAGGCACACACGAACACCGCGGGAGAGGAGAGCGGACGAAAAATACTTGGTGGCTGATTGCCGCGTTCCACTTATTTCGCGTTAACCCGGAGACCGGCCTCGCCGCGCGCGTTCGGGTTCGGTCATTTTGACCGAGTTCTATTTATCGATCAAATAGACCGATTGCCAGCGAGTTTCGAACCCCTCGAAGGCCGTACCCGCGGACAAACGCGGCGGAATCGGCGGAGGAGAGAAAAATGGCATGAAAGGGAGAGAAATCCCGCGACCGCCTAGCCCGATTCTTGGGAATTCAGAGGCGTCGCGTCGCGTCGCGAGCACCTGTCACGCGCAATCGCGATGACACATCGCGGCGGAGATCAATTACGCGGCTTGAAAGTTGTTGGAATCAGTTTCCGTTGTACACGGAAGATGAAGAAAGAATTAATATGGTTCGGCATTTTTCAGCTTCCTGCAGGTGTCTTTCTTCTGGTTTCGAGACCTCTTGGGTTATCAGATAATTCAAGGAATAACAAGCGAGACCGGTCGCGAAAGTCAATTTAAAATCGTCGAGGTATAGGGATCGTTAACGATGCAACAGTGACCTAAAGGAAGCGGCGAGTTCCAATCAACGTCCGAATTACACGCGATCTAAACGAAAATCGAAGAAGAGAGGAGAATCCGAAAATAGAGTGAACCGTGTCCGCGGTCCCGGACAATAAGCGTCATCAATCCGATGACACTTCATTCCCGGGAACCCACAGGCGTCCCAGTTTCGGGAAGCAGCGGCGAACGGGCGAAATTGATTTTTACCTTCTTGCCCGCGCAGTTTAATGGGCGAACGGTTCTCCGCGTCGAGGAGCGTCCGCGTGCGTTCCGTGGCCTCGCGTGGACCGCCCGCGGACGGTCCGTGGAACGATCCTGCTAAAAATATCCATCGACGTCGCGGCATCTAGCATTTCGGCGCGGTCCGAACGCTTCCATCGCGAGAAGCTGCGGCGGGTCCTCCTTCTGTCGCACGGGGTCACGGGGAACAGAGGGGACTTGTAGAATCGCGGAACGGAACTGGAGGCCACGCGGATGCTCGAATCAACAGCCAAACCTTCGACCGTCCGTCCGCGAGTTTAAAGATCCAGAAAGCTGGACCACCACCACTAAAACGGAACACCTTCCCCGATTTCGTCTCG